GACAGAGTACCTGAGCAGGTGGAGGACAGAGTACCTGAGCAGGTAGAGGACAGAGTACCTGAGCAGGTAGAGACAGCATACCTTCAGTTGGAGAACCATCTCCATCTGATAGCGGCACAGAGGACTGATATCATTTAGGATCAGAGCTGTGATGATGTCGATGCCGTTGGACTCGTGGGTCACAATACATGTCTGTAACACACACAGAGAAACTGAGTGTCCGCGTCCATGATGAATGTCCCTCTGTCCGTCCTTGTGTTGACTCTGTGTACCTGGTTCTCCTGGCAGGGTCCCTGGCAGTACTCGGTGAGTGTCTCCAGGGTCTGAGTGATCAGGTGGACGTTGGATTCATTGATGTAGAGGCCCAGCAGACCCAGGCCTCCGGTGGTGCTTCCACACATGATGTCCAGGAACTGAAGAGTCTCACACACCAGGTTGTAGTTGGTCTTATTGTTCTGACAACGCAAGAAGTTCTGGAAACACACACACACACACACACACACACAAAGTCCTAATGTCATTCTCCTTACCTGGTTCCAGTCCTTATGCTAAAGTAGGCTAACCATGTCCGGACTCCAGAAACTGACCTGCAGGTCCTGGTTGTGGTTCTCACAGAGCAGCTGGAGGAACCTCAGGATCGGCTTCATGATTATCACGGCTGGTCCCATCTCCGTCTCCACCTCCCGCTGCTCTGCTACTGGCTGAACTGGCAGGGCAGAGGCGCCTGTTACCGGGGCGATGGACTGACCCTGGACCAACAATGGGTGACCGCCTGTACCAGGAAGTACTAATGTTGCAGAGCCACCTGTACAAAGAGGAAAACTATTAGTAACTAGAACAGAGGACCCAGTAGAGAGCAGGTCTCCACCAGGCAGCCGCCTTCTGGCTGCAGCTGCCAGAGTTGATCTCAGACACTTCAGGCAACACAGACGGTGCAGCTGTGGCCTCCTGAGTACCTTACAAGTTGGCAGTGAAGACAACAAGAACAAAGTTTTTTTGTGTCATCTTATATCACACCTGCCTTTAGTCGCTCATAACAAAACGTGTGGAATTAATCTGCAGATGCTCTGGGTCAAAATGAGACCAGACATGTTGTGTGATGTCAGTTTTTGTGAGATGAGCTGCAGACAAACGGATTCACACTCACGACCAAACACATGATCCCCTCCAGGCAATATGTCTCTGTTTAAGACCTCGTGATCTCAGGGGGAACGTGTTGTCTAATATCTAACATGATCCTAAATTAGTTCATCCATATGTATTCAAATATTCAACAGGTAAAAAGAAAGGTATCTCAAATAAGACGAAACAAACCAGAGCTCCAGTGAGGACTAACACCACTCTAGATTGAATTCAAACTAAATTTAAGTAAAACTGTTAAAATGTAAATTAAACAAAACCAATCATGATGATTAAGGTCGGTTCAAATTCAGCTTGACTCACAGAAAATAAAATCTTTTTAATAAACTTTCTTAGGTCTGACTGAGTATTTTAGAGAAACATTCTAAGATTTTAATACGGAGGACATCACTTTTCCAGAATAAAGTCAAAACATCGTGAGGAATGTTTTGAGAATTAAGTTGTAATGTTCCAATTAAAATTAGGGCTGGGTTAAAAAAAAAAAAAAATTCTACGATTTTTAATCAATTCTCATTTTATTTCCTGGAGATCGATTGGTACGTCCAAAGATTGATTTTTTAATATTATTTCCCACCACAAACTTTAACCCCGCTAGTCTCGCGTCATCGGTTTTGTGCATGTGTACCGCAACCTCTCTCAGTGCAGTGAATTGTGAAACCAAATCCTGCAACATGGCGGAGTCAGACACAGGCAAAGCCCTTCTCAAAACGCCGCAAAAACTTAAGGCAGAGGTCTGGCACCATTTCGGTTTCAGAAACCTTAAAGAAAAAAAAACGAGCTTGACAAAAGCAAAGCGATTTGCAAGGCATGCCAAATGGTAAATACTGCAGAAACACGACTAATCTCCGTAACCACTTGTTGAGACATCACCCAGACCTGCTATCTGAGCCGTCCACCACCGGGTCGCAACAAAAGAAACTTAAGGATTCTCTACAATTACACGTTCCAAGAAAATAACCAAGGCTATTGCAACTTTCGTGTGCAAAGATATGCGCCCATATTCCGTCATGGAAAATGAAGGCTTCAGGAGGGTCATGAAGGTAGCCAAACCACACTATGTTATGGTGACACATAAACATCTGTGTGAAGACATTATCCCGAACATGTATAAATCTGTGAAAGAAAGCATCAAGATTAAACTGCAGTCAGCTGAGAGGGTTGGCATCACCAGTGATACCTGGACATTCGTGGCGACGGAATCCTACATGACTGTTTCCACTCATTACATAGACGACGAGTAGAACCTCCTCTCACATGTTCTACAGACCACAGAAGTTGAAACTGACCACAGCTCTGTCAGTCTAGCTTAAATGTTGACGACGGCGATACAGGAGTGGGAGCTGACGAGCAAAGATTCAGCCAGAGGAGGACAGTTTACAGCCTAAGTCAAGTTTAATTTCCAGTTTGAGTTTATTTTGTTTGCACTTTAATAGGCAATGCCTTTCTATTTCTAATGCAAAATGCACTAAAGCTTTGATGGGACTTTTAGACAGTTTACAGTTGGAAGTTTAAAATGTCCAGTTCACATGGTTGCACTTTGAAGGCAATTGAATGTCTTTTGCATTTCTAAAGAAGCTACACAAAACTGTGAGACACAGTGAAGTGTATTTATGTTTCCTTGGGTACCTTTGATGTTTATTTACACGAGGTGATGAGAGTTTGGTTACTTTGAAGCCACTACTAGCCAGTAACCAGCACTTTGTTTACATTTACACTGCCTCAATCTTTGTTACTGTTTTCATATTGATTAGACTGATTGCATTAGAAAGACTGGTGATAGTAGTTAGTCATTCTGCTTGTCACACTGATGCTGACTGGAGAGTCTGCACAACATGCAGCACAAAGTCTACTGTGACCCTACAGTAAATGTGCTGTTCACAGCTGTTTGTGGGCCAAATGGCTATGACAAAATTAAAATAAAAGTACATTTGTATTTGTTAACAGCTTTGGGGTCAATTCTTAATAATAATAATAATAATAATAATAATAATAATAATATTAACAATAACGATAATAATATTTTTTTAATAATGCACCAAGTTAGAGATCCAGTACAATTAGAGCTTTTGTTCATTTTGAATCTAATTCTGCCCACAGCATATTTTTGAAAGCAATACTATCAACATTCTGGGAGGGGGATTGATCCTTGCAATTTTTAACAGTTTCAGCCATTAACTACCAATATTTCATATTTATTTGCTGTCAAATGACAATATAATACTAGTACTGATGTGTTGTATAAATGGGCAGTCATGCAATTCAGGTTACAGCTCAAAAAAACAGGTTTCGTTCGTCCGATAGTAATACTAACGGAATCGATATTGAATCAAATCGAATTGAATTGAATCATGATCATCAATTCTGAATCTTGTGAATCGGAATCGAATCGATTCTTGAAATTTGAATCGATACCGAGCCCTAACTAAAGCTTCTGTCTGTTCCGCTCAGATTATGAATGAATATGTAAAAATAATATAACTTCAACTTTTTTTCTTTTAAAATCACAATTTTTTTTCTCAAAATATATATAAAAAATATATATATTTTTTTCCAGTGGCCGTCACAGAGCCTCAGAATTATGAACTTTTTTATCTGATTTCAAATGGAGACCGCAGAGTGCTCAGACACACTTTAGACAAAAGCAACAGAAAACATGAAGACAGCATTTTAATATTTTTATATTTAAACTCTGATCAGATGGACTTTTTATAAATGTGACATCAGATGAAAACAGCAGTCAGAATATGAAGGTATAAAAACATCAGAGGTCTGAGGAATCGTGGTTCTCACCGTTCTCCAGCTCCTTCTCGTTGGCCTTGTGCGTCATCTCTCCGACATTAACAGAAACTGTAGCTTTGATATCCGTCTGAGCTTCTTTCATCCGGTCATGAAGAACCTTAAAGAACTTCTCTGACTTGTTGTCGCCCATCATCAGTTTGTAGAACGAGTTCTGCAGAACGATGTTTACACACAGTGAGCTCAGACTCTACCTGTTGATGTTCTGACTCTACCTGTGGATGCTCTGACTCTACCTGTGAATGCTCTGACTCTACCTGTGGATGTTCCGACTCTACCTGTTGATGCCCTGACTCTACCTGTTGATGTTCTGACTCTACCTGTGAATGCTCTGACTTTACCTGTTGGTGCTCTGACTCTACCTGTTGATGCTCTGACTCTATCTGTTGATGCTCTTACTCTACTTGTTGATGCTGTGACTCAACCTGTTGGTGCTCTGACTCAACCTGTTGATGCTCTGACTCTACCTGTGGATGCTCTGACTCAACCTGTTGATGTTCTGACTCTACCTGTTGGTGCTCTGACTCTACCTGTTGGTGCTCTGACTCTACCTGTTGGTGCTCTGACTCTACTTGTTGAAGCTCTGACTCAACCTGCTCTAGAGGTGGATCTCACCTGGATCTCAGTGTTCCCTCCCTCCAGTAGACAGATGGCAAGCTGGATGCTCTCCTGGAAGATCTTGTCGTTCTTGGTGCTCATCACCAGATCAGTGAACAGCTTCGTTCCTCCTTCTCTGTCCAGACGACACTGAACAGCCGCCACCGCCGCCCAGTCCCGGTCCTGCTCTACCCCTGTGACATGAAGGAAACACATATTCATAGGATGACATCACAAACACATGGCTTCTAAACATCAGAGTTGTCGGTGAAGATTCTCAGTCATCCAGGTCATGGTAATTGTAAGTACTATATCATTGGCAACTGGACTTGCTTGCATCGGGTCGAAAATGTGCCCATGAGGACAGAGGTGAAGGTGAAGGAACAGAAACACATCAGGGAAGCACTTCAAACCTGTGGCTACCCCAATTGGGTCTTTGCAAAAACCTCTAAAAGACCCAGAGTAGACAGAGAGGAAGGGACACAAAAACGTAACAACATTGTCGTTCCTTATGTCACAGGAGGATTTTCAACAAACACCACATCCCGATGCACGTCAAACCCAGTAAAACACTGAGACACTCCTTTAAGGACAGCAATGTGCACATCTTGGCCAGGGAGGGCCATCTATGTCAAGCTGGAACGACCATCGTTAAATAGAGGGGGTGACTTACGACACCACTTATCATCCACCTACAATGCAGTCCTGGGATCCCTCCCCACACGACTTCACACCCATTCACCCCTGGTCCCATGTGACCCTAATGAGTCACATGGTGACCAGGTGGGCTAATGACTCACATTGTGACCTTAACGACTCTGAAACTAAGAGCTCACGTGACCCCTATGACTCTGCAAGGGTTCCCACACACACAGGGTTTATAGCCTGCAACTTTGTACCAGTCATTTAGAACTGAAGAAGCTTATTGGATGAGAGGTCATTGCTTCAAGAAACGCAAGCAAGTCCAGTTGCCTCCGATATAGCACTTATGAAGAAAAGAAAAGCCACCAAAGAAACTTAACAGTACGTTTTGTTTCTGTTTGTGTGTTATTTATTTGTTTATTCATGTATTTACTTGGCCTACTTATTTATGTATTTTTCATTCATTTGTTTATTTATTTTAATGACAAAAGAATAACATAGAGAAGTTCAGGTAAAGAGCAGCAGACGGCCGACAGATCAAACAGAAGCGATACATGTTAAGAATATGAAGTGGGAGGAAATGTTATTTTTCTCCATGGTAACGAAACATTACATCAGTTCCTGTTTCCAACACAGAGAGGGAAGTTTGTCCAAAAGCTGCTGCCGTATTTGTCCCCTACACCGTGGTAGAGGAGCTTTGTCCAGCTGTGAAGGAGACGAAAGACGAACTGAGGAGGGTCCGGTTTAGGAAAGGTCCAAAGACAGGAATCCATCAGTGGGAAGACTGTGAGGGCTCATTTATGCTTAACGTTAGAGATGGAGACAGACGGAGCCTTCTCTTTGTGTTCATTTCGTCCGCATTTGTGTAGGATAAGTGAGATACGGCTGTAGGAGACGACAACTGCATTTTTTCATCTGCGTAATATTGTGAAAATTAGGCCTATCCTGACCCGAAAAGATGCAGAAAAATTGGTCCATGCTTTTGTTACCTCAAGGCTGGATTACTGTAACTCTCTATTATCAGGTAGCTCTAGTAAGTCCTTAAAAACTCTCCAGCTAATTCAGAATGCAGCAGCACGTGTACTAACAGGAACTAAGAAAC